GAGAGAGAGAGAGAGAGAGAGAGAGAGAGAGAGAGAGAGAGAGAGAGAGAGAGAGAGAGAGAGAGAGAGAGAGAGAGAGAGAGAGAGAGAAGAGAGAGAGAGAGAGAGAGAGAGAGAGAGAGAGAGAGAGAGAGAGAGAGAGAGAGAGAGAGAGAGAGAGAGAGAGAGAGAGAGAGAGAGAGAGAGAAGAGAGAGAGAGAGAGAGAGAGAGAGAGAGATGAGAGAGAGAGAGAGAGAGAGAGAGAGAGAGAGAGAGAGAGGTTTAAGTTAAGAGGGGGGTTAAGAGAGTTGGAATGGCGTCCCAGTTAAGCCTGGCCAGATCCTGATAGTCGGTGCCGTGGCTGCAGAAGCCTAACTGACTGACTGCACAGGAAACGGTCAAACGCCGGGATCAAAGCAATGGTCAATATGTGCAAGCATTCACTCGCCTTTGTGCATGAAGCTTGAGTCCACCCATCTGCTTTGCATTGCCGAGAAATAACGTTAGATATCAGCCATTGGAACAAAAAAGACGTCAAGCCACTTGCATGGCAGAGATAAATGGGCCAGCTTCAAATTACCAGCGCATGTTACAGCTGCCCCACCCATATATATGGGTGGGGCAGCTGTACTACTCAACCAATAACACTCCCCACCAATAGGTGCGGAGTGTTACTGATGAATTGTCCGGAGTGTTGATAATGTCAACATTTCCGAAACAGGTCTCGAACGGACATGGTCAATATATTCCTCACTGTTGTGGTCAATATATTCCTCACTGTTGTGGTCAATATATTCCTCACTGTTGTGGTCAATATATTCCTCACTGTTGTGGTCAATATATTTTATTACGACCAGGCAAGCGGGCTAGTACTTCTCCGAACCAGAAACACCTCACCTGACAGAACAGTCATGCAAGTCCTTTAAGTGGAAACACAAAAAAGTCAGGCGCATTAAAAAATGCGTTATGAAGGCAGCTGACACGTCTTCCCCTGCTGTACGAAATGTGATCTTGTATACTTCTGTGATCCATCGGGATTTTTTCTAGCGTCTTCAAAATTACTACGTTTGTCCACGTTTGTCTGTGTATCAAGTGATGATCTTATGATCATGACCTGTATGATCATGATCTATAACGTGATGATCTTATGATCCTGGTTTGTCTATCTAATGATGATCGTGTTCTGTATTTCTAGTAACGATCTTATGGTCATGATCGGTCTATCACGTTATGATCTAATGGCCCTGGCCTGTCTATCAAGCGGTTATTTCATAATCCTAGTCCGCCTACCAAGTGATGACCTGATCTATCAAGTAATGACTGATCTATCAAGTAATGATCTGAGCTATCAAATGATGCTCTGATCTATCAGGTGATGATATGATCTATCAAGTGATGATCCGATCTATCAAGCAATGATCTGAGCAATCAAATGATGATCTGATCTATCAAGTGATGACAGGCAGCTGGCCCACTCCGGGGCCATATTCGGGTGATTCAGGTCAGCCCAGCTTATTACCGAGGCCGGGCCAGTCCCGGTCCCACCACCCCACACCTGAAGTCAGACCACTGGCTGAGAGTGGAGCGCTGGAGCGGAACGCGTCAGCGCTAGCGAGCCGCCGCTCCATTCTGCCCGGCTGATTGATTCCGGAGTGACGCTGGGCGTTCATTATATGAGGAACGGCGAACAATGAACAAATATTGAAGTGGCCAAGCAGCGAGGAATGCCGCTGGCGCGGCGTACGTGAGGCCTCATGACACCAATACCGCATCTGCCAGATGCGCTGAATGTCAATGAGTCTGGTCCATGGGACCGGCTATTTCGTGGCGGCTTGGTGTAACGTCCATGCATATGCATGACCATGTGGGCATGTCGTGGTAAAGGGTAAAAATCCTTTCCACAGATCTCCGCTCACGAATATAACAAAACCATTCATGACCTTAAATTCACGACTGTTGTCGAGCATTATTGATCAATATCGCCCATCCACTTGGATTTCGTTTACCACACATTGATAATCTATCTATTCGGGAGGTGCAAAATGACCCTAGAAGTCGACGCACCCTAAAACCCAAATCATCATTATCTACTCGGGACATATACGGAGGTACCGTTCCGAACAGTAGTTCCCACATGGGTTTTGGTAAACTGAAAATTGATGTTTGAAGAGAAGACCATGTGTTATTCTCCAGTTGTTATGTAAAGCATTAGACATCGCTAAGCTTGAGTTGAAAACGGAACTCTTGATATGCCCAATGTCATGGTACGTCGTCAGATTTGTCACGAGGCCATAGCATCGATGAATGAAACCACAAAAATATATCATTTGAATGGCCAAAACTTTTTCGCGCCATGGCACGTTCACCGATGTCATTTTGCGTCGACTTTGGATACTTTGCTACAAGTTTGGGCCGCATATTATAGGCGTACATCGCGACCTTCAGACAACACTCGGGGCTTTAACCACCGGTGGCCGTTGCTCGGACGGATCTAAGAATTACGCGGCTTTCTTTAGGGCATATGCTTCCCCATAATTCTACTTTCCGATTTGTTGAAAACATGAAGGTTTAAATTTGAGATTATGTGGTAGTTCTGTCGTGGGATATCCCCACAGCAGGATTACATGGACGTAAGAGAGGGAAGAGAGCATCAGCGCCCAAAACTTTGCGAAATATTTAACCGGTGCAGCGAAAACAAGGCCGGATGTATTTTTAACTACTGACACGAACTGGCTCCCATGCTTTTCATTGGAACACATGAGGTGAGGAAGTCCACTGGGTGGTGTTCTAAATCAGGAAAAATGTAAAATTTGAGCGAGACAGTGATAGGTCCTGGGTTTGTTGCATTATGTATATCGAAAATTCAATCTTCCCTGCGTTAGCTCACCAAACAGAGAGGGGGGGGGGGGGAGGGAAGGGAGACAGCTTTTGCACCAGGGCGCTGCATGATGCGTCGCTCGGTTCAAAGCATTCTCTACCTGGCTGACGTGTGCCTGAGAGTGGCATCGACCTCATTGTCAAACCACGTGGAGCGCCATCTGGCGGCAGATATGGAACATAACACGTACAGATGCGCCTCAAAGCAAACAAAGGTACTTACTCGGGACTCGCATAACACTGTGAGCCTGATAACTCTCGGGTTCCTTCGTTTGGTTACCTGTTAACCGATAGCACCAGCAGTGAGTAACCCTCCCCCTCCCCCCCCCCCGCAGACTGTGTGACAATTGTTCAGCGGGGCGGCTTCAAGAAAATTGACTGGTAACGGTAACTAGTAGTGATACTGGAAGCCTAATGCTGTCTTAAAACCTTTGGCTGGAGTGCTCACGTGTGGTCGAGACAGGAGCAGCGGCCATTGCCTTACTGGTGGACGCTCAACGTCGCTTTGAGCACGCCCTCGGACGCAAATTACCCACTCGCGACACGCAGATGGCGGACACGTACCACTCATTCCCGACGCCTAAATGGTGGGCACAAAACCACCCACTCCTGACGACCAGGTGGTGGACGCAAACCATCCACTCCTGACGCCCAGATGGTGGGCGCAAAACCACCCACTGCTGACGCCCAGGTGGTGGGCGCGAACCATCCACTCCTGACGCCCAGATGGTGGGCACAAAATCGCCTACTCCTGACGCCCAGATGGTGGGCACAAACCACCCACTCTTGACGCCCAGATGGTGGGCGCAAACCACCCACTCTTGACGCCCAGATGGTGGGCGCAAACCACCCACTCTTGACGCCCAGATGGTGGGCACAAAACCCCCCACTCCTGACGCCCAAATAGTGGATGCAAACTAACCACTCCCGATGTCCAATCAGTAGACAAAAAAAAAAACACCCACGCCCGACACCCATATGGTGTCCACTCCTGACAGCTAGATGGTGGTCGCAAACTACTCTCTCCCAACACCCACTAGGCGGACACACACCGCCGACTCTCAACATCCAGTGGGTGGACACAACCGCCTCCTCTCAACAACCAGTCGGCGGACACATACCGCTCCCCCTCAGCGCCACGCGTCGCTGCGGTCGGCGTCCAATCCGCGCCATTCTGTTGGGATTTGGAGCCAGAAAGCTACATCTGCCGCGGCCAGCAACCATTGCAGGGCCTACGCCGGACCACACTCGGGCATTACGAAGCGGAAGGAGGCCGGGCAGACCGGAAGCGGCACGTCCGCCCTCTGCGAACCCGGCCCTGGCGTCGGAAGCACCGCCGCACGGCCTCACGACGACCGCGAGCGCTGTGCGGCTGACTCCGCGCGAGGGCAGAGAAAACGTCAGTGTTTATCTGATGCAGTGGCATGGGAATGAATATGGCACTTGCGGAGCTGGTGGAAACGTTTCTCTTAATGCGGTTGGTGCCAACGTTTCTTTAAACACGGGCGGTGTAACCGTTCCTTCTTAACGTCATTGGTGTACACGCTGCCCTGTTTTGAAAGATCTTTGGAAGCAAGCTGGCGTTCATTCCACCCCTGGTATATGCATCTGAAGCATGCAACGCTTGGGATCTAAGCCGATCTTGACCACAAAAGAACTGCTCACCCGATGCATTATCGAACAGGTTGGCGCTGAGTGGGTACTTCATCTATGAATGTCCCTGTTCGCTGTCAATGCCAGACATTGAAACACGAAATGGTTCCATCAGTTAACGACTATCAACGAATGCTCTTTTAAGACTAAACCAACACATTACTTGATGCCAGACGGCTTAATGACCATGTGGGCGCTGATAGGGCGGAACTGGTTAAGGAACGCCGATCGATGCCACGCCTGAGGGCCTCGTTCCTTTTCATCCGGCTTGTAATATCATGGTCAGCGGCACTAGGCCGCATCTGATGTGACAGTGGGCCGCCGGCCAGCGCCTGAACGAGCGTCATATGTCCGCAACCCAATGGGATAGGCGGATATACACAACATCCCGGGAGGTACAGGGTGGTCGAATCGGTGCTCGTTACATCGCCGGCTTGGAGTCACGACAGCACCAAAGCCTCAAAGCGAGCTGCGGCGGGGGAAAAGATAGTCTTGGTATACTCATGTATTCCATCCATCGAGTTCACTGCAGGCAGTCCGGAGAAGCCTCGAAAATGCTCTGTAAATGAGACAGCAAATATTTCGGGGCTGACCAGACCTGCTGACAAGACACGCGCGTCTCAAGTTCATGGCGCGCACCTTCTCAGCAAAGCCTCAGTTGCTGCGAGCAGCATTAACGTGTCCAGACGAAAACCTGAAGCACCGTGGACAACACATTCTCAGCTGAAAGCTGTGACTTTGGCTCAAAACCGCGCTTGTTCGCTCGCCGCCAGCTGGTGTTCTCCCATTAACAGGATCAAACTGGTACTATCACAACGAGTACAGCATGGCGAAAAACTTTCGATTCATCACTTCACCATGACCCCGCAACCCCTAACGCTTCGTAGTTGCGCAAGCCACAGGGTCATCGCCGAACTTACCGAAGAGGTGACGTCGGTGCATCAACCACCAGCCAGGCATTCGACTCTCTCAACACAGCCAACGAATATACCTGGCGGCAACAAAGCCCAGCCGACTGTCCGAGCCGACACGGGCGCACTGGCCGCCCACCAGCGTCATCCGTCCAAACTACAACAGCGCCGTCTGCCGAAACGACAGCGGCGTCACGCCCGATACTAGACCCCTCAGCTGACAAGACTACAGCAGCGCCGCCTCGCAGGCGAGCTCGGCGCCGCCCTCCTTGCCGTGCTGGCGGTACTCGTACTCGGCGAGCGGCGGGTGCAGGCGGCACAGGTCCGTGTACGCCTGGCAGACGCGGCCCACCTCCTCCACCGTCAGCTGGTACGGCCGGCAGGTGGCGTCCAGGTCGGCCAGGCGCAGCGTGTCCAGCGCCAGCTGGCTGCGCGCCGGCTCCGGGTACAGGATCTGCACGCCGCGCAGCTGCCGACACAGGAGCACACCGTTCACGTACGCACGCGCGCGCCTGACGGCAGCTGCCGCCGGCCTGAACGGCGCAGGTCTCCGCTCAAGCCCACACGCTCGGTACGACTGCGGTCGGTGCTAGGCGGCCAGGACGACCACAGCACCAGCAGTCGGACAAGCTGGTGGCTGGCTGATGCCGTCCGGTCCTGTCACTTCTAACTACCCCGGCTGTCAAGCGATATCCTCGACAATTCCGCAAAATCTGTGCCATCAAACAAAAGACAGACATGTGACCTGACTTTCCACAGATGTGACATGAATATTCCACACGGTGTCGTTCAACACCCCTCCCCGCACGATATCCGACTCCTCCCCAGAAGCGGCTGTGTTGCTGACCGCGGCCACCCGGTCCCACTCACGATCGTCTTCTGGCGCATGTGGAAGAGGCAGCGGGCCACCTTCTCCACGGTGCGGAAGGGCAGCGGGATGCGCGGCTGGCGCAGCGGCGTCAGCACCACGGCGGCCGCGTCCACGCGCGGCCGCGGCGTGAACACGTGGCCGCCGATGGTGAAGCGGTACTGCACGTGGCAGAAGGCCTGCGCCACCACCGACAGCCGGCAGCGCTGCTCGTCGCCGGCCTCGGCCGCCATCCGCTCGCCCACCTCCTGCCGGCGCACGACGTGGCCCGGCGCGGTGACGCTCCGGACTGACGAGCGCGGCACCTGCCGGGCTTTGTGGCGTCTTGCCACCGGACGGGTAAGCCGCCGCTGCTGCGACACTGAGCCACCGGTGACGAGAACGGTGTCGGGTCTGGCGGGAGGGTCTCTGACTCACGGGCGCGACGTCACTACTGACAGACAGCGCCAAACCACACGTCGTATCCGAGAGCTCAAGCCAGAGCTGACGGTCGCACTGACATGTCTCGCAGTGCAAGGCATGCCACTGCAAACCACTGGCCACATGGGGATCGGGGCCAGATTGGGGCCAGGGATCACAGCCCAGATTGGGGCGACACCCAGCCTCAGACAGAGCCTCGGCTGACATACAGAGGAGCAGCCAACCACGCTCTGTTGAAAGAGGTTATCGACGCAACCAGTCATCGGTGGACCTAAACGTTCATCAGGACACTTTATAGTACCTGGCCTGCACCCTTCAATTCCTGCCGCTGAACGCACCACCCTCCCACCTCTCCTCCTCTCTCCAGGAGAGAGTGGGTAGCATCTGGCCTGCACCCTCCAATGCCTACCACCAAAAGCGCCATCCTCCCACCTCCCCTCCTCTCTCCATGGGAGGGAGGGGGAGGGGGAGGGATCGCCCGCCGCTACGCACCTTCTGAAAGGTGAGCGCCATCCGCACGCGGCCCGTGCGCCAGGCGCCCTCGCGGCGGGAGATGTCGCGCAGCCAGCGCACCACTAGCGGGGTGCTGATGCTGAACGGCAGGTTGCCGATGATGTAGGCCGACGTGCAGGGCTGCTCCCACGGCGTCGGCTCCACGGGGAACGTCGCTGCACGAACAAAGATCACACCGGGTCAAGGGTGGCGGCCGCCGGCGTCGGCTGATCCCACGGTATGGTCAGAATTGATGACACGACCACCTGAACGTAAATATACAGACATATTATCAGATCGCCCTCGTGTAATGCTGCAAAAAATCTAGCACTGCATGCCTCAAAAAGCCGACGCGTCCTAACATAAAAAACCATTTGAAGTGTTAGTGATCGGGACTCCGACCTTAAAAACACCAGATCTTAGACACCTACAACTTAGAATAATGAACGAATGCTACCTTTGTCAACTGCTCCCCGGCGTGACCTCCAACAAACAACAAACAAATCACCAGCTGGGGTGAAAGGTGGCTGCACAGCATGCGCCGCACATTCCTTTGCATCGCTCCCACACAAAATCAATGCATGCCATCCAGGCTGACTTTTTAAGAACAGATCTCCACGGCGTCTCGAGCCCGGTGAGCAGCCACCGCCGGAGCCCAGCTGAGCGACAGTTAAGTAGAGAAGCGTGTTTCTTCCAGCGGTCCTCGGGAGCTTTACCCACCGACAGGTGATGCACTGGTGAACGCAAATTATCGTACTTGTCGTCAGCAGCGACATGATTCCCACCCCGATCGCTGAAATCATACGGCACAGCCTTCTCCCCTCTCCCTGCCGAACCACTGACCTGACATGTCGTATCGCAGCACGTCACCGGCGACAATATTGACCGGGCAGGGGGCGGCCGCCTCTCGCAGCATCAGCAGCGCCGGCAGGAAGCGCGTGTCCTTCTCCACGAGCGTGAGCGAGGCCGGCCGCTGCGCCAGCACGGCGCGGGTGACGCTGCCCGGGCCGGGCCCCACCTCACACACGTGCGCGTCGCGCAGCGGGCCGGCGGCACGTGCCAGACGGCTGCACGTGCCGCCGTCCAGCAGGAAGTTCTGCGACAGCTGCTGCACGGCGCGCAGCCGGTACAGGCGCAGCAGATCGCGCACGGACGGCAGCGGCGGCAGCCGCGGCGCTGCCATGGCGACGGAGACGCGGCGACGGTCGGCAGCGCTGATTGGCTGATTCGGGCCGGAGCAGTCCGCAGCGCACCTCCGAGAGGAGCGACCACAGCCCAGAGCTCGAGTGCCCTCCGAGGGCGCTCCCCGACACCAACAGCCCGCAACTTACGCCGGAAAACGCAGTGCTCCACGAAAATGAATCAACCGTCCACCCGTTAAAGGCGTCGGGACAATATTCCACACCACACGGTTTAGCCACTGAGGTCCGTCAGCAGCGCAACAGTGCCCACTTCGCGCAATCCTTTAACGCTGACTCTCGCAATCCTGATCTCACATAAGCTCACACCGGCGTACTTAGTCCCCGAACGAAGCCTTCTAGCGTTGCGCTCGGTTTGCCGTGAATGCATCAGGCCTGCTTGCTCTTCTGCTGACGGACCTCCTCATCCAGCACGTCCAGGAAGGTCTCCTGCCTCACGGCGTACATCGAGTAGGCGTAGATGCCCAGCATGGCGGCACTGATCAGGCCAGCAGTCACCTTAGCGTTCTTGCGCATACGGGTCAGCCTGGCGACGACGCGACACGCAGCTCAGAGTTAGCACTGCAAGAGTGGAGGTCGGTTCACCTAACGAAATGACGTACGAGTGAAGGGCCGCCAAGTGTGCACGTTAGCCCTTGAATGGAGCTTCAACTACTTTCATCAGAAAATATTTTCAATCAAATGTGTATGGTACATGTGCTGCAACAATGCATGTTTTTATGAGAATTTGGATTAGTTCCTAGTGTATGCCACCATTTTGGTGCCAAGAGATGCTTCAAATACAATTAAAGTATCTCTGTCTAAGTTTGTTCACGATTATGAAAGACAGTCTGTGTTTCTGATCACAATGGTTCTAATCCACCTATTGTAAGGGGAAATGCAATATTTAGCCAGTGATGCCAGAGCTCCTACCTTTGCAAGCGAGTCTTATTCATCACATCCACTTCATCCATCAGCTGTCTAGTTCTCTTGTCAATGCTTCCCCCTTGCTTCTCAAAATCCACTTTTGGCATTTCGTTTCCATCCGCCATAGCTAGAATAAGGCCACCAGAACTATTAAGCATTGGAGATGGGCTGCTTAGATAATTGACACAAGGCAACAATGGGCCGGGGGGGGGTGGGGGGGGGGGGGGCTATAAATCTCCAGCATTCAGAAATTCATCCAGCCATGTCCAAGATGTAACTATAAATTCAAGCATCAAGAATCCTGGCTATCTGGCAGCCCCCATACACAATCAATTTGTTGGCACTAATCAGTTGCCCTTTGACCCTGCACCCAAATGCATGCATCTGACATGGGGGGGGGGGCATTTATCACTCTGAAGGTATGGTATCACCCTTGCTTAGGTGCCGAGTTGACCCATGCCCAGTTTGATGCTGATTGGCCAATTTTCAGCAAGGTGGAAGACAATGGCCAATGTGCCCCAAGCCAGGGGTGTAACAGCATGGAAAAATATTGACATCCTTGCCACCTGAGTGGCAGAATATTAAAACACCGCAACTTATCATGTATCCATGAGCACTGATTCTTCTCATGTGTGGGAAGAGGCAAATTTAAATATATATCATACCCACCTGCTGTATAGCAGTGGTGGGGAAACAGCCTACACAAAGGGAGGTCAGGGGAAAACACAATCATTGAGCCACCATTTTTTTTTCATAAAATGTGAAATGGCTCATTTGACAGTTGTGACTAAATGCTTCATTTCATAGCTTTGTAACTGAATAGTATATATTAACCATGTGACTGTGGACAACATGTTTATTGCTAACCAGTCAGGTAAAATCATCCATCATTCAAAAACACTTTTGCAGTTGCAGCAATGACATATGACTGAGGTACAAACATACTTTGTTGCTGGATCCACTCTGGCGATGAAAATAAGGATCAGTGACCAACAACACCATAGAGCATGAGAAAAAATTGAGCTCATCAGAATGAAACCAGACATTTATGTGCAAGCAACACTTTTTCCTCCAGTGTCTGATGGGCAGAGTGTCAGTGTCTCCATTTGTCATTACTGTCTCCTTTTATCATTAATCCAAAATGATGTATACAATCTAAATAAAAGTTGTTATTATATGAAAATGATCTCTGTTCCTTTTCATGAAAATAGGGCCAATATCCAAATACTCCTTAACCTTCATGAAAATAATTACAAAATATAGGCAATACAGCAACCTTTAAAAATTAAGATACTAGATCAAAACAGCCTCTGATTTGTCATAAATTGGCTTTTATGCCACCCCAACTCATCCTTTACAAGATTTCATTGTGGATTTCTGATCCTGGAAGTGCTACATTGTGTACTCACAAGCAAGCTGAATAGCATCTTCATGAGGTTTACAGGGTTTAGTATGCCAAACAATCAGCTGATACATGCATCAAATCATGAGTTGCTCCCCATTACATTCAATATTGTTCCTACAACCTCTTCCTTAAGCCAGCAAGCATTCAACAAGTTTTTACTTCAGCACTATCCCATCAGAACAGGACTACCTGACAATACTGATGAATGTCAATCTTTATGGTTTGATCTGAACCATGGATTCCAGGAGTCAGAGCTTATCCTGAGCAGTGTTTATTGCATGAACTCTGACCTCATCACCAGATCAACAAATGACCGTCACTGTACAATCGTAAGACCAAAGTTTAATTCACTGAAATGCTTGGCATGGTCTTCCTTGTCCTATTACCTCATGTACCCCTGAGCAGCTGATCCCATGGGCTGAGGGTCATCCAAGTCAGAGCAATTAGCAGGAGCCTAAACAGAGTGAAGATGTCCACCCTCCCAAAATGGGCACTTTCATCAGCTGACCTGAAGGGGCACACAAGCTGACTTAGACTATGGCGAACCCTAGCACAAAAACATGACTATCATAGTGCTTATTTGAAGAAGTCGATGAAATACTTATGGAAATACAATGTTGGTGACCGAAGAGAAAATAAAATTTGTTCTTTGGCCAGCCCAATTCATCTAACTTAGGCTAAGATTGGGCATTCAAAGAGGGACTCACCTGAAAGCCTTCCAAAATATCGCAGCAAAATATGATACAAAAACCGGTGCAACGAGCTCGACGACTTGTTTCAGTGCCTGTGATGCGCCCAATGCGTTGACACGCGTAATACAATGTCTTGCGTCGACACGGCTGCGGTCAACGCACTTTATGCAACCCGTTTGTAATGGACTCCGATGAGCCGAAAATGCCGCAGCCAGGTATGTCTTCATTAATTCACTGTTACAAGACATCTGAGGGACTCATCTAGGTTGATTTGGCTTCAGCAGAAATTATTTGTATCTTAACTCAAGGGAAAACTTAAGGAGCATCCACATGATTTAATCAATATCTTTCATTCTTTGTTTCCGATGCAAAATTCAAAAGGGTGGTGGTGTGTGTGTTGTGGTTTGAAATGCCACTTGTACAAGATTATGTATTCATAGTTTTCTGTTCCTCTAAGAACAATGAAATTATACAAATTTCCATCACACTAAATAAAGTGATGGACAAATGTAATGTGACTGAAGGCAATGACAAATCGACGCCAACAGCGTCGCCTGTTCTTGAAGAAGACGACACAAATGATTTCCGCAAGCGAAGCAGCGGGAACCATTTGTATTGCTCGCTCCCTCGCTGAAGATATGTTTTGATTTTGTAGGGCACTTCCCACCGGTCGCGATTCAGTGCTCACGTAGCGCTTCTGCAGTCAGCATTTCGTTCTTGGTGTATGGCGTGGGCACGGCTGCACACGGCATCAAAGCTCAGCTGGTTCGGAATCATGACGGCAGGCGGCGGCACCATGGTGTCGGTCACGCCGGCTAGAGGGCCGGCGCCCGTCGCCGAGCGGCGATGTAACTCCGGAGCAGGTGTTCCAGGTGCTTCAGCTGGATGATGCACGTCCGCGATGGGGAGATAAACTTCCCATTCGGGCGTGAGATCGATGTAAGCCGTGGGGATTTTGCCGGCTAGTCGAGGCACTCAACACCGTGGCCTCACGGGCGTGTTCCCAGGGGAGTGGGATGAGCGTGAGAGGAACTATGCGACCTTTCATGGTGGGCTCCTTTATTTTGTCCTGCTGCACGGTCTCAAATTGCGGCGAATTAGCTGGTTGACCGCTACAACTGCTTGCAAACAACTTTGGAGCCGCGCTGGCCTGTTTGGCGAGTGCAAATTAAGGGGAGGAGATTAGCAACCGGTAAAACAATTGCAGAGATTGGTTTCAGTCGGTTAGGCGTTTTTTAGCTCGCACATTTTCCGTTCGCAGTGTACTGAGGAGGGATGCCGTGCGGTTAGCGCTGAACAACTATAACGGGACCGCTCACTCAATTCGTGTGGCAGATGGAGCAAATGGGGTTAAAACTGAACCACGATGCTTTGGTCAGGGCCGTTGGATAGTCTAAATGTTGCGGTAGATGGCTGGCGCAGCGCGCCGGCTGCCGACATGATAATTTCACAATGTGGTTCATTCTGCAAAGTTAGAATAAGATTTGCGTACCACCGTATTTTTTAACAACCCATGCCAGTTTTTGTGTTTTCCCTAGAAGTTTTGCTGCATGGATTGTGCGAACCAATTTTTTTTTACTTGTTCGGCAGTTTTGTGTAACATGAGCATGTGCTAGTTAATCTACATCAAATTAATCGTAAATTGACGTTAAAAGCGATATCTAAGGACCACTCGGATCGCTTTCGGTTGAAGCCATATCTGCTGCGCTTGAGACCGACTGAAGGAAGGCAGTATTCTTCGCTTTCCCTATAATTTTGGTGTCGCTACGGATCGGAAAGAGTTGACTTTTATCGTGATCTTCGGACAGCAAGCATTCACACGCATTGCGCCGTTGGTCGCACATCGCCATCTGCCAAAAATTTGACACGATTTTAATCAACCTATCACAATGTCCAGCAGCCGGAGAGTACCATCGTTTTCGCTCGAGTGTGTACGAATTGTTGTATGCATCGGCACACTTGGCCAATGCGACCGTCATTGCTCTTTTCCGCCAAACGGCCTCGTAGTTGTCTGTTCCGATAGCTCGGGTGGTTAGAGCGTCTGTCTTCCGATCCACCCACCAGTGACGGGGTGGGTTCGGTTCGTTTTAGGCGCATGCCTTTTGTCCTCGACAGGTATGGACTGTGGTAGTGGCAGCGGTCGCGCTTAAGGTCAGGTCACTGTCAGTGGGAAGGTCGGACCGCGCCAAGCATCGCGGCACGTTAGACTTTCGTCACCAAATCCTGACGTCGGCCTAGGGTTTCAAGAGTCAGGTGACATCGGCGGGAAGGTCGGACCGTGCCAAGCATCGCGGCACGTTAGACTTTCGTCACCAGATCCTGACGTTGGCCTGGCGTTTCAAGAGTCAGGTGACGTTAGTGGGAAGGTCGGACCGTGCCAAGCATCGCGGCACGTTAGACTTTCGTCACCAAATCCTGATGTGGGCCTGGGGTTTCAAGATCGAACGATGAGGTCCAGGTCTCACACAACAAGCACTGATAAGCAATAGCTCTTATCCTAAAAAGATCACTCAAAAGCTTTGGATGAAATATTCTAAAAATACCTGGGCGCGTGTTCCACCCGACCTTTACACCCTTTTCGTGGTTTGAAAATGTTCCGGCTCGCATGCAAACGTAATGGGGAAGGCAATGTACTTAAACTTTTGGAATTGCGCTGGGTAATGATTCCTAGCCGAATTTCTCGCCCGGACGTACCATGAAACAGCACGAAGAATATTTTAAGGAACTGCTTTACTTGTTACTCAGTACTGCAGAAAGCTGCGATCAGTGGTTGTTAAGATAAACCCTTGTTAAAAGCGTGATCGCTGGTCTCGACCTCACCATGTCACAAAGTTTTTTTCGTTATACAGCTTTTCCGAAGTAATTTTTCCGTCGGACCATGTCTTCCATTGTAATGAATACTGAACGCATATATTCAGAGAAAATTCAATATATAAAAAGTACAGGAGTGCTTCCAGGAGATAAACACCGTATGTGGCTATGCCACCTCTTCCAAAGCTACGGTGATGGCAGCGCAGTGATGCTGTTCCGCGATGTCCTGTGAGTTCTCCAACTGTGCGAAGGGCTGCACCTCCGACCTCCACAGGCGGCCGATGAGAACGCTGAGCAGAACCATCTGGGTGATGGCGATGGCGAAGAACCAGCACCACTCCCGCAGAGTGCCCTGCAACGAGTTCATAGGAGTGCTGTCTACTGTTGCGAGTATCATTGTGAATATCTGTGCATTGTGTGCGGGTTTGCAGTGGCTCGGCGAGGTCATTACATTCCAGTGAGCACTGCACACCGGCGGAGGGGGCGGGATAATTCGTTGCACGTGGCGCGGTTTGTGACCACAACGTGTCAAGGTCCGAGCGCAGAACCGGTATGGTGCTTGGTGCTTAGGGGACGCCGACAAGCGCGTCTTTTTTGTGCTGAACTTGAAAGCTTGGACGTTATATACCATGTGTGGGAATGCAGCTGCCCATGCCATCGATTCGAAACTCATGACAATGCTGCGAGAGCATGGAGCGCTGTCTCTGTGTTTGTGTTTTTGTGTGTTGAACATAAACAGAATCCTGGTCAGTGTCAGGTACTAATGAGGCATGTGACTGGGACAAGCCGAATGATGACAGCGATAAGTATATCACCATGCTGGGATATGACGTCATTACCGAGACAAATGGAGCTGGACACTTTTGTGTGTCATAAAGACTTGTCAGGGACTGTTTAAGACTGAAAAACATCTTTGGATTTACGCTTTCCTTGACTGTCATGGAAGTACTCACAACTGGCCGGTATTGTTGGAGAAAACGAGGAATGTACTTCAGTACATGCTTAATTCCGCTCCTCGGTGAAAGCTCCATCTTGCGGTGCTTTGCTCCGAGTCAGCCGTTATGCATGCCATCTATGCTATTAACTGCTGCACCCGACATCGTCTCAACATTCCACCTACGCGCACTGTGCGTCCTCTGGTCGTTGGGCCCAGCTGTCCTGCCTCGGGGTCGAGCGGCAGAGCAGGACTGATCGACTCACATTCGGCGTCATGGCGGCCGCGATCAGAGGCGCCAGGAAGCCGGTGGAGTTGCCGAAGGAGGAGGCGATGCCCCAGATGAAGCCGATGTACTGCGGAGCGATTTCGGCGGCCGCCGACACCGGACCTAGAAAGCCAGTGTCGTGTGACGGGGAGCTGTGACAGTCAGCACCCGACTGAGGGCATCAGTGGTACGGGACCTGTGACAGTCAACACCGGACCGAGAGCATCAGTGGTGCGGGACCTACGACAGCCGACACCGGACTGAGAACATCAGTGGTACGGGACCTGTGACATTCGACACCGGACTGAGAGCAGCGTTGTTACGGGAGCTGTGACAGGGAGCTGTGACTGTCGACAGCGGACTGAGAGCATCAGTGGTACGGGACCTGTGACAGTCAACCCCGGACTGAGAGCAGCGTTGTTACGGGAGCTGTGGCAGGGAGCTGTGACTGCCGACCCCGGACTGAGAGCATCAGTGGTACGGGACCTGTGACAGTCAACCCCGGACTGAGAGCAGCGTTGTTACGGGAGCTGTGGCAGGGAGCTGTGACTGTCGACCCCGGACTGAGAGCATCAGTGGTACGGGACCTGTGACATTCGACACCGGACTGAGAGCAGCGTTGTTACGGGAGCTGTGACAGTCGACCCCGGACCGGGTAGGTGTGACAGTGAACACGGACACTTACCTACTCCCACTGACTTACAGGGAGCTGTGGTATCCTGGGCCACCACGGTGGTTCCAAACTTTGATCTGATACACCCACCCAATCGTCTTGTCAGGGATCCATGGCAACCATGTCGGTGGCACTTGGGAGAGACGTAACGTATCGCGAGGCTGTACAGGGACCCGTTTCCTAAGCAGCCTGCGTCGCGCGACGCGTAAAAACGTGGTAGGGATGGCGTTGCCAGTCGACACCAGCTCTCAGGTCTGCCGATCCGAGCTAAAATCTCGCGCGAATAGAAGTACACCTTACAAGTCCCATCGCGATGTACGCGTGATGTGTAATAATGCTGACTAGCTGACAGTGATCCTAAGAATACAACCTGTCGATGCTGTAACATTATCATTGCCCGAAACCTCAGGATAATCTGCGCAGATCAGCCTCACTATGCGTATCAGATTGATGATGACCACTTAGAAGTAAAAGATCATTTTGCTGCATAATCCTAGCTGTTGTTAAGTGCCTCATCTCAGGACACTAGATTCGACAACTACGCAAGACACAGGGTATCAAGAAGACATCGTAGAGCGCATTGCTAGATGTTGCTACCGGCAGAGATCACGATGCTGGAGAATCCCTGGGCCAGGGACATCAGGACGACGCTGAGGTATCGCTGGGTGGATGGCAGCACAATGACGGCGATCATGCAGGCAGCCGGCACGAGCAGTCCTGCGGAACCGGAAGGCATGGTCAGTAGCAGCCTCAGGATGTCGAGCAGACCAACGAGGACTCAGACAAGTTGAGCAATATGCAAGGATTGTATCACCGTTGTATGTATGTTTGGCAATGCCTAAATGCCTGCCGATTGTAAACGCCTGTCCTCCATGGCACTGAATGATGTGTACAGCTTCGTCGCCAGTGAGGTTTTACGACGTGCTCCACTGCTGACACGATATGGCGTCGCCTGCCTCTCACCCTGGCAGCAAGGGCGGGCGCGGTAGGATTCTATCCCGTGCTTCTGATTTTACAGACGCGCAGCTTAACCACTTCACTACCGGTTCCAACATATTGCTTGTTTCGACTTGCATGATATAACGTACTTATGTAAAGCCAAGCAGCGCAGCGTTCGCAACAATTAGCGCGCTAGCTCATTGAATTAAAGAGCCTACTAGCTCAGGCGCCCCCAAAATTGTAGGCTTTTTAGATGCGGGCTTACCAATCGAAGACATTATTTTGCGTGAGTTCGTAGTGCTCACGCCCTTGTTGACGTGAATGTACTCATACGCCTTTCCTCCAGCAATGATCAGAAGACCCATGGACAGGCTTGGTAGGGCCGACACGAAACCATTCTGAAACGACCCGACGTGGTTAAAATCGCAAGCAAAATCAATCGTAACACTTCTTCCGGCGTATGCCACGGCACCTTGCGTGCAGGAGGGCAATTTTGCAGAAAGAGGTGGGGTGCCCGACGTGGTTAAAATCGCAAGCAAAATCAATCGTAATACTTCTTCCGGCGTATGCCACGGCACCTTGCGTGCAGGAGGGCAATTTTGCAGAAAGAGGTGGGGTGCTCAACAGTAAAAAAAACACGCAAACTACACCCAAAATTTACAAACTACTTTTTCCGGATATGGCCCAATTTATTCTCAAAGTTTTGGGGACTGGAGCCCGTACTTCAAATGAACAGAATACTGCACCCTGCTAGCGAACGTGCTCAGGCACGAGTGCGTGAGAGCGGTTGTTAAGACGCAAATTTCGCGCGTTTAAATTTTAATCGCCGTCTATTCTTCCCATCCAACGCCATAGGCTCAACGCTGATAAGCTGATAAGTTGTCATGTAATAGTCAGTCGACGTGCATGAATTTTCATCGCACTTATGCGAATGTGTGGCTGTTTATTGCATTTGTATCTGGCACATGACTTCGCTTCATGGTTTGCGTTCGTTCCTAGGTGACTCTCAACGAAAGGCTGACGTCAGGTATGATGTAGCGCAACCCGCATTTCCTTCACATCTCCACGACTTAAGCAGATGTACGACAGTGGTCTGTTGCTAGCTCACCTCCATTATGTCGAAGTCAAAACCTTCCTTCATGAAGGTTGGCAACGTGATGCTGAGAGTCGCATAGAACCAGCTGGTAACGAAGTAACTGAGCATGATGATCCACACTTGCAGATTGCGCAAGAGCACCCAGATTGAAACTGGCTTCGTCTGGAGACAAAGAGAAGTTCAGTTAACCTAAACGTCCAATGTCATTTCTAGAGTTATAACCTTTAAGAAACAAGTATCATACTTGGAAAGTGTCCTGACGTCATGCATACTCAGAAAGACAGCGCTTTCTCGACCCATCACAAGTGAGTTCACCCCTACGTTGCCGCTGCCGTGAATTAAGAGCTCGCGGGATAACAACAAGAGCACGTGCGACTCTGACACAGCAAACGCTGCTCAGGGTGCTGGCTGTGGTGGCAGATACTAACCGGCGCCTTGGCCGATGTCTGCACGTGCGCCTGCGACATCAGGCACTTCTTCTCCGCCTCGCTGATGAATCGGTGGTGCTCTGGCGACTCGGTCAGCACGAAACAGGCGACCAGCGCCCACATGGCGGAGGCCATCGCTGCCCGTGCGGCGCGCTAGGTCAGACAGTGAGCATACGCTAGGTACTACTAAGTAGCGTCAGGTCAGATTCGTGGCACATGTGTCACAGCCGTATGGTAGGCAGCAGGCCGGTTCGTGGACAAAACTAAGTAATTAATGCCCTTTTGGATGCTTTATTATCCAAACTTATGGGCCCTTGCTAAATTGCTCAAAATCATTTATAAGAGTGATCGTTGGCTATCGTTTTCTAGGCGCTTTTGGGTAGTTTCCATCCAACATGAAGCGTAAGCATGAATCGATTAACGATGATTCGAAAACATCATTTTCACGCTTCCGTACGCTGTTTCACCACAGGAATGTTCGTATGTCTTTACACCTAATGAATCCATTTCCCTACCTCTACTGTGAAGACTTACGGACACTTATTCGCAACACCGTCTATTAAATGGAGCGTAACTGAACCACCATCTTCGATTTTCCGTCTGCTAAGGTCCACAGATCGGTTCTAAACGCGTTTAAACGGAACACCGGAAAGTCAACTTCACAGAAAATCAGTTGGAAGTAAATGGGGAGAGGGCCGCTGCCTACAAATTTTTCGGCTTCGGTTTGATCTGCCCTGCACCAGATGTCACGTGTGCCTCGAATACCTACTGCCTGGAACACACTTCAATTTATTTAAAAAGGGGAAGCTGGTTTAGAAAAGGTCTTTGCTTCAGTAGGTACGAAAGGCTGCCGAAAAGTGTATTCAAGCTGGTTTTGTTTCTCTCGAACCGATGATAGCCCAAGCATAGCCCAAGTCAGAAACTTGGCACACCAGCGATTACAGAATGGTTGGTGGCCTAACAGCCATGGTGTGTCTATATTACCCCTAACTGGCATGTTTCTAGGGACGGCAGTGTTCAACACGAAATATTCACTCGATGTTAATGCATAACGATCTGAAATGACCACTAAAACATGGGTTAAAGGTGACAAACGCGCGATTCCGATAAGACTTCGTTGGTACTGGTAACTAGTGACAATACTTGTGATTGCCTCAAAAACGGTAGTACATCAACTGAAAACGGCCTAAAACGCGTCCATGTCGCACTCCTGCGCATATGCACCCAAGGTATACGTTCCGCCCCGTCCCACCACTGCAGACACCGCCAGCGCAGATTGGGGTGGCCTGGGGCAAGTGTAGTGGCAGCGGTCACACTGAAGGTCAAGTCGGGCCAGGTCAAGGGCCGGCACCGGCTGCTCTGAGTAGTGTGGCAGGCTAAGCCTTCGCTGCCAAGTTTTGCCGTTGACCCGGCATTTCACGATCGGACAGTGAGGTCAGAGCTCACGGTGACCCCACTGTCGATCCCAATCCGGACTCCAAATTGACACTGAAAAGCCTTTTCCTTAAGCCCGAAGGATTTCTCCGTGGAATGGTCTATACCGACACCTTATTTTTTCGGCATGCGTTTTGAATAGCCCCGCCAGTAAAAAAAAGCGAATGCGTTGGGTCTGGATAAGTGGTGCGACCTTCTCATGCACAGGATTTATTGTTCTGTGCATTGGGACAAGAGATAGCATAATCGTGACAAGAATGCGGCGCATGTCACATTTTAACAAAAAACATGGTTCAAGGCAATGAGGGCCGTGCAACGTCGTGTTCCAGTCCCGCTTACCACAGACATAGAAGACCACCGGCCACCCTCCGAGCCCGTGGGACTGACAGAGCGCGCTGGTCACCGGGAAGGCGGCGGCGCTGCCCAGGTATAGCCCACTCCAGGCTATGGAGAACAGCAGCGCAAACTCGCCGGCCGCAGACCAGTTGCGGAGAATCACGTTGAAACCCGAAAAGAACGGCGACTGAAACGGGGGCGAGGATCAGCCATCAGATGAAGACAGCTGAACGAGGGAAGGCATGCAGCAACCGGGTGGAAGTCGAGATGTACTAATGTTTACGCTGCTGCGGGCGTTTGTCCGCTTCAAACGGACAAGTGACAAAACCATGACAGTGGGAAGGACCTTCGCCTTGTGATACACTAACAGCACCAACTGCAGCAAAGCACGCAAAACAAGACAGAATGTGGTCATTCAACGGAAGCAGATTTTATTTTTGTTAGTTGAATGAAGAAGAGGGAAGATGCCGCAAACTAGTCTGCCATATGATATTCTTATTTTGCAAGGCAATGACATTTCATGCAATCTTCGTTGCATGCCATACCGTTACTGCTGGCTCGTAAAGCAAGCAAACAGGACTAACCCGGGCTGTAGCAAAGCACATCTGTTTATCCGCTTCAAATGTCCAGTATATCTGGTGCGAGGATGTGCGAATCTGGTGACAGAAACGTATTAGGGTTCAGATGCAGCGTTATCACTCCGATGCTCACCGTTACCACGCCCTGGATCACTCTGAGAATGACGAAGCTAGCTGGCCACAGCCGCGTCGCCTCTGGCATCAGCGCCAGCAGCAGGGCCTGGGAGAGCGCGCTGCAGATTACGACTCTGTGGCTGGGGTACCTGGCAACGCGAAGGCGCAGGGCTGAAACGCCTGGCGAGAAACATTATACGTGATACCGGACGACAGGTGTTACTCGACGGCCCCATGCATTTGATGTATCGCGCCCGTCTGAAAATGAATCAAAAGCGGGTGAAAGCAGCAAGTGACGGAGCTGTCAGCTCCAGCTATTCAACACCAGTGTGTGTAAGGATGCACCGGTTCCATTTCCTTTTCACAATTGCTATTGTCTGTGACAAAACATCACCGGCGGGAATTTCTCTGAAGTGAGGAAGTGCAGCGGCGGCTCCGGGGGCGCTGAGAGTCAGCGGGCGTCCCAGCGCAGACAGATGTCAGCGTCGAGACGTCAGCGCACCTGTCAAAACCCATCATCTGTCAAACAGCTCACCTATCAGCCACCCAGCCGCCGACAACCAGCGTCGCTACGTAGCCGTAGAAGTAGGCGGACAGCACCAGGCCCTGGAACTGCTTGCTCCACGCAAACTCTCCCTGCAACAGTGTCATAACGGTTGACCGAACCGCTGGTACAGTCGCCGTTTTCGAGTGATCGTTCAGGCGGAGACTGTCCTCTCGTGGTGGGGTGCGCGGTCACAGTCCTCTCGTTCCCACTGACCTCTGACCCGGCGCGTGTTCACTGACCGGGCACAGCCGTCACGAGCCCGCCGAAACTTGCAGCGGCCTCACGTAGCTGGGATCGGCGGACACAGTATTCACGTGACGAAGATTCACTGCCTTGAGGTGACTGTGACATACCAACGGTTACAGTTTCACTAGCACATGCCCCGTGCTCACGTGTTCACTGGCACATCTCCATGCTTACGTGTACACCGGCGCATGTTCCGTACTCACGTGTTCTCTGGCACATGTTCCGTGGTCACGTGTTTTCTGGCGCGGCAACTGTTCTCACTTATCCATTGATATGACAAACGGGAGATGAGCGCTGTCCTCACAAGTTCATTAACACTGGTACGGCCTTAGTCCTCACGTGGTTAGTAACAGAAGCAGTGCTGCTCACGGCGTTGCAAGCAAAGAAATGTAAGGGCATTTGTAGAAAAAGTGCAAGCAAGAAACCACGCTCCAATTTACGCATCCTGTGCTTCCTTACCCACGCGAGAGTGATGTACCACTCTGGATGACCGCCTCCATTGGAGCAGTTCAGTAGCAAGTACACTCTTAAGACACACTTGATTTGAAAATAATATGAATGAGCCTGGCTTTGTTGTCGCATGAATTCGCACCATCCTAGTTACTTTTGAGGGAAGTGTCAGGGATAATCATGGTACAATGCCCGCAGCAGACCGTGGCGCCGGCGCTGCGTTAAGGAGGGTGTGACCTCCACTGTCGGCCCGCTAACGCTGAGAGGCCCCAGAGTCGTTGCACGCCCTGTAAGCCCTCTACAAAATAGCTGGTTTTAAGACGGATTATGAAGCAAAGCTTTAAAAACTGCATAGAACGTTTTCAGCGTTTATGGTCTAGCTACAGAACATTCATCGGCGGTTTTCGGCTGAAAATTTTTTGAGATTATTAACAAGTATGTAAAAACGCATGGTTTGGCAAAACTGTGGTCGGCTGGCTACAACCAAACCATGCTTTCATGCACAGGTATGGTACCATATCTCATACTATGACTTTGTAAAACTAAAAAAACAAAAAAAAAACATTCGGTGACATTTCTGCCGCAGACGCGATGTGAGGAACTCTTACATTCTGGCCACGTCCCTGTTCATAGTTACGCAGCATTTACAGAACCCACATACTCAAACACACCAACGACGAACGATCCTTGAATTAAATGATCCTCAAAGTTCGCCTTGTTTCACACAGCACCGATGTACCAACATTCTCGACCGATTTACACAGCTGCCCAACTAAACTCACAAAAGGCGTTCATTTCTTGCAGAACATGGGCTCTAAACAGATATTTCTGAACTCCTTGTTCTAATTTTGTCACCCTTAAGTACTTTACTATCATTGTCGGTGTTTTGCAAGGTCAGATCAACCAAGGGCAGGGTAGGTCCAACTTTGACTTTTGTGACTAGATTTAACCTTTAGTTCTAAGTTTTTACAATCAAAAGCAATAGGTTACAAGCCCTTACAATTTAAGCCCAAATTGCGGACATCTTTCAGCGTTTAAGACCTTGCTAGCGCTGCTCTCCCATCGATGTGGCTTGTTTATTTCTTAATAAAGCCCGATAGGCTAATGCAATGCAAACCTAAAATTTCACACACACACCCTGACGCATCACAGGTCACATGTTTCGAGATGCCCACCAGCAGATGCATACAGCTTGCTCGATACGCTCTGACTCATATCAACAATTGCGCTTGTGCTTGAATGGTGTTTTTAATTTGTCTGCATCATGTGTCAGAATACGGTAAGATCAGGTCAGGTCAGGTCACCTGTCTCACTCGGGGTGATATATATATATATATATATATATATATATATATATATATAATATATCGTTTATATATATATATATATCTATATATACATAGATGTCAGAGAGAGAGAGACAGAGAGAGAGAGAGAGAGAGAGAGAGAGAGAGAGAGAGAGAGAGAGAGAGAGAGAGAGATATATATATATATCTCTCTCTCTCTCCTCTCTCTCTCTCTCTCTCTCTCTCTCTCTCTCCTCTCTCTCTCTCTCTCTCTCTCTCTCTCTCTCTCTCTCTCTCTCTCTACACAACTGAAGTTTTTCAAGTTTTACATAACCCTTTGCATTGTCGCAGCAAGCGTGGGCCCTGAGGTGGCAGAATGCATTTTTGGGGGGCTACCCTTCCCAATATGACCTGCTTCGACACGTTACAGGTCAAATTCGCCAGTTTTTCAGTCACATTTGTCTGTTAACAAATATCTACCGGCCTTCTGGGCCAATTTATATCTTTCATAAGCCTCCTGTAAGGGTAAAAATGGTTTAAGAACACGCCTACTACTCATGTGCAGGTGAATGATTTCCCGCAAACTAGCGTTTCCAGTTCCTCGAGAGCATTTGGATCTGATGCCTTCAGGCTTACATACGAGCAGTCAGGGACTGTGTCTCCAGCCACTGGCATGCTACGTGTTCGCTGTGCATTTATCGCTTCGAGATACTGCTTCTTACGTAACTGGCCAGCCTTCAGTATGTGGCTTGTGAATAGCGTGTCCTCTAAACAAAGGGACATGAAGGTCACGGGACATCGACTCGTTTACTTCTGACAGAAATAAGCCTAGTCATGCTATGTTAACTGGTGGTAACCATTTATTGACACTTCACCTACCTCTCATGTTCTGACGCAGTGGCGATCGGCATGTGTTCACTGACACAGCAGCATGTGACGAGTGGTCACAGCCGCGGTCCAACTTATCACCTGGGAAAGCAACAGTAGGGCGCCCGGGACCAAGTCACCTCTATCATCCTTTGGGGTATGACGGCGGTCGGGTCAGGTCATCTGTTTCAACTGGCTCGATGTGACAGTGGTCAGCTCAGGTCACCCGTCTCACTTGGGCTGGCGTGACGCTGGCCAGGTCAGGGCACATCTCTCACCTGGCCTGCCGTGACGTTGACCGAGGCGGTGACGTTGTCCAGGGCCGGGTCGTCCGGCACGTTCCGCACCATGCACAGTACGGCAAGGCCGGTCTGCACTCGGCCCACCATGGCCACAGCGTTGCCCACCAGGCACATGAGCGTCACTAGCAGACGGCAGGAGGGCAGCAGACGGTCTGCCGGTCACAGAAACCAAAGTTGGAGCATCTGTCGGGTACAGCGTCTCCAGCTACATATTGAAATGAAAATGTACTCCGCGGCCAAGGTGCTGAACTGTTCTGAGAGAGCATTGTGAAAATGTACATTGAATATGTTGGACACACAAAGCTTGAGTTGCAATACAAACCTTATAAACGTGAAATTCTACCGGTCTCAACGAAAACGTTACAAAATGCATGTTTAAACATGTACGTATAGTATGCACGCTTTTTATGGGGTGGGCCCCGTCCTGATTCGACAGCCAGGATGCTTTGAATCTGATGTACCTATTTTTCATGAGTGGTCTCAAATTCGTCGCAGTCAGAACTGCTCTTCTACCTTTTGTTCATAATTTCCAAACGCGCCAGTGCTTATCTCAGCCGAGGAAAATTGAAGATGCAAATGAACTCGTTGTTTCATTTAAATAAACGTGCAGCCCAGACTTAGGTGAGTTGGGTCAGGCATTGGGTGTATTGGTCCCACACTTTCATTTCGAGAATGGAGCACGTCACGGTACGAGAACGAACAGTGCTGGACGATGCTAATCAACCTGTGAAGCAACACCGTTTGGTACAGTCCGAGACACGCGAAATCCGGGCATAAACAGCCAATCAACATTTTAATAGTTACTTCATATCCTATCATATAAAATATGTTACTTCAGCTACTATATACAATAGTTACTTCGTATCACTCATATCCTGTGCTAGATCGTAAGTTCAGTTTTGCCTATAACATGTCAATTGTTAGCAACTAAGCTTTTAGGCATTTCGAAGTCCTCTGTATAGAGGTTGATGATGGCGCTGTATTTGCTATAAGATTCACTTTTTTTCTTAAAGCACGTTGTGGTAAATAAAGCATACTGAAAACTTAGAAGTGCAATCACGCCTGTTGGCACTGGCGAACTTACGCGCTCAGGAACGACATTAGGCGTACATTGTACAAAGCCGACACCATGTCCCACTTCTCGCTGCGTCGAATGGCCGACAGATTAGGTTCGACGCTAGGCCCATTCAGTAGCCCTACTCCCTGGCTGAAGTCCCGGATATCCGATCAGATTAAAAATACCGAAACAATACATGCTGAGCGGAGCGCTCAAGATTATCTTAATCAGAACCAGAGGTGATGTTGTTCGGATGGCTGCAACGGCAACTACTAGAAGTATTATGCAAGCAAGCAACGCGGAAGCATCGTACATCGACATGCCTTGCTATAGATGTCGATGTCGCTGATGTGGTTTATGTCGTTTCCCAGGCTGCCTGAACATCTAAAGAGCTGATGATGCGAAATACACCAGTGATGATGCATCAAAGGCGGCAACGATCGAGCAACATTGCTGCATGCTCTTTTAAGAGGGACTGATACAGCGCCGCCACGTCGGTTGGCTCTATACCTCTGCAGTTAGCTTTAGGAGACACCTCAGGATTTCCGCTTTAGTTTTTAAACAACTTGGGACCGTCTTGAATCACGTGCTTTCTCGTTCATGTAACATAAATATGCAAAGCTGCAGGACCGCGGTGTCGGCACTGGCGGTACCGGGAGGGGGGGGGGGGGGAATAACTTAAAAAAGAGTCGAGGCATATCAATGTGGTGGATTCATCTCTTAATTAGACATAATAAAGTTAGAGACGTTTAACAACTTTTAAAAATCCTTGATTTTTGTATGCAAACCTCCTTTGCGTGAAAAATATTGGCCAGGACATGGTAAACATTTTTCATTCCATACCGTCGTACAATATTGCCCAATGCTTTTGGAATTGGCATGGTGGAATGTCCACTCTGGACTGCCTTCTAGGCAAGGGCGTACGCACGTACGTTAGTAGAAGTAGTAGTAGTAGTAGTAGAAGTAGTAGTAGTAGTAATAGTAGTAGTAGTAGTAGTAGTAGTAGTAGTAGTAGTAGTAGTAGTAGTAGTAGTAGTAATAGTAGCAGTGGTAGTAGCAGCAGTGGTAGCAGTAGCAGTAGAAGCAGTAGTAGTAGTAGTAGTAGTAGTAGTAGTAGAAGTAGTAGTGGTAGTAGTAGTAGCAGTAGTGGTAGTCGTAGTCGTAGCCGTAGTCGTAATAGTAGTAGTAGTAATAGTAATAATGGTAGTAGTAGAAGTAGTAGTAGTAGTGGTAGCAGCAGTAGATTAAGTAGTAGTAGTTGCACGCTCGTAGTAGTAGCCCCGGGGCAGGTGCCCCTCCCTCTTACCAAACGCATGTCATGTATTTATATGTCCGTGATTACGTGATGACACTTAATAACTCCAGGAGAGCGTGAGTCATGTTGAGCAGTGCTCCCTCTCCCCCTATCGTGAAATGCTGCGCGCGCCCCTGCCCCCACGTTCGGCTTCCCGACGTTGCTGTGACGCAATGTTTGTTTGAAGTCGCAAACATGCAGCTCAGGCCGCTGGACTTCACTCGGGGTCGCTTGTGAACTGATCCATCGGTTCGAGTCTAAGGTCCCAGGCAGGCCTCCAAGTGCCGACCAGGGATGTGGGATCAGCTTGTACGCACCGACTAGCAACAGCCACTGAGGCCATGCTAAACTCCATTGGGTGACAGCCACGACTTCCTGGGGTATGCTGCAAGCACAGTATAATATCATATATATATATATATATATATATATATATATATATATATATATATATATATTGCTGCAGTGATTTACTTACATGGATTCCGGGCTTGAGCGTTGCTTGAGCCGGATTCGACACCGACTTCAAGGACACAGTACTGTTCGGAGTCGTTTGCCGCAATGAGCCCGATTGAATTGCATGCGCAGTCGAATTCGAAGCGTGCCGCACCAGCCGCTGCTGGCGCAGCTGTGGCGCTGCTGGTCCGTACTCACGGCGGGGGCGGGGGACCTCTGGTCCGCTGTCTTGACGCGTGCCGTCCTGCGCCATCTCGGCGTACCGGCAGTCACACCGAGTCGGAGGCGGCTGCGCGCCAGACGGGCCGCGCTCTCGCAGCGCGGCGTGGTTTTGTGACGCTGCCCGTACGGTGTCAGCCCACGTCAGGGCGGCAGCTGAGAGGAGCAGTGGCCCGAGGCCGGCCGGCGTGGACTGGAGATGGGGTGCGAGATGAGGCCGGCCGGAGTGGACTAGGGATGGAGTGCTAGCTGAGGCCGGTCAGAGTGGACTGGGGGTTGAGCGCTAGTTGAGGCCGGCCGGAGTGGACTGGGGGTGGAGTGGCAAATGAAGCTGGCCGGAGTGGACTGGGGGTGGAATGCTAGCTGAGGCCGGCCGGAATGGACTAGGGGTGGAGTGGCAGCTAAGGCCGTCCGGAGTGGACTGGAGGTGGAGTGCCAGCTGAGGCCGGCCGGAGTGGACTGGGGGTGGAGTGGCAGATGAAGCTGGCCGGAGTGGACTGGGGGTGGAATGCCAGCTGAGGCCGGCCGGAGGGGACTGGGGGTGGAGTGGCAGATGAAGCTGGCCGGAGTGGACTGGGGTGGAGTGGCAGCTGAGGCCTGCCGAAGTGGACTAGGGTGGAGTGCTAGCTGGGGCTGGCCGGTGTGGCGTGAGGTGGGCAATTCTGGTTTCAGAGTAGCGATGTTTTTGCGAGCATTGCAAGGTGGTTTAGAGTGTTAGCTGAAGCCCAAATTGTCTTACCTTTGTATTGTCTGACGTCAGCCGAATTTCCAATGGTGTTAAGAGCCGACCCGCAAGGCGTGTTTGCCCGTTTTTATCAGTCAGTTACAATGAAATCAACGGCTTTAGTCTTAAAAGATCTTAAGCTGCTAGGGCATTAATACGAGACAAGGAGAAGTTTCCCTTGGCAAGAATTATTTCCTCATAGCATGCTAAGGTGCATTGAATATTGTAGGTCATTATCTATTTTAACGATTTAGTAATCACAATTCAAAGATAGGTTATCTTAGTTTCCCTTCTTTCTTTTATTCGCCTTAGTCACAGTAACTATGTTTGATTTTAAGATATGTGCACACAAACAGTGAAGCGGGGAAAACCGCTAGCATGACATCTACAGACACTGGCAGCTCGACAGCCACCCTTGCTTATCGATAGGAATGAAAACGTCATGTTGTTACCGTATTCTGCTCATTACAAAATTTCTTTGTGGATTATCCGACTGAGTTTCAGGGAAAATTTAGTAATAATATCCATTTGATTGGTTTTCATTCTATACGTTGGATTCCGCGAGAGTTAGCAAGCTTGGAATCCCGGTTCGGTCCTAATCCATGTTTTGGTGGACATTTACATTCTGGTTCAATCCGAATCCACGGATTGATCCAAGGCGTGAAGTGCTCCACTGGACGCTCGTTTTACCTCCGATAGCGAAACTGTCCGCAGCCTTCCGTGGTTGTGTTCATGTGGTGTTCCATCAGTCATGATACCGGCGTAGTGCACGAACAAACACGTGCCAGTATTGGTCTCCAGGGGACAAATAACATTTATGAACATCCGTGTCATGTTAGTGAGGCATCACACCAATAGACAAGCACACGTGGCCTCAAAAGACGGACGAAAACTTGTTCAAGCCATACCACTGCATCAGCAATGTTTCAGACCGACAACAAGCTTCTATTGTGCGTACCCTTACTGCGCCTTCACTTCATGCACGCTTCCTTGAATAGATAAAAAGTTGTGGAGAGCGCTCTACCGGCAGCTTGAAAACCAGCATTACCGCGGTCGCTCACCAGATGCGGCAGTGGTCGACGCCATTCATGCGTGAGCTGGCCCGGCACTGCAGTCACGTGGGAAATGTGCGGTGTTGTTGATGTTGATTGGTGTTTTAGGGCGCGCCGACTGCGGTGGTCATTTGGCGCCCATAACGATTTTTGTTTTACCTAACTAATGAATCGTGATGATGATGATGATCGGGGTTTTAGGGCGCGTCGACTTCTAGGGTCATTTTGCGCCCATAACAGCTAAGTGTTTACCGTGGTGTATGAATGGCTGTGAATCCTACGTTTCTCAGAAATTAAAACAGCTGTCCGGTGCCAAGCATGCGAGAATCGTCACCAATGAGGTCTGAAAAGGTAAGACCTGACGCATCTCGTCCGAAGTAAAGTGCCCGCTCTTCTCTGAACTGTGGGCAAGAGTGAATAACGTGGCGAACTGTAAGTGGCGCATCACAGCGGGGACATTTAGGGCGTTCTCCACCGGACAAATGTAGCTATGTGTTGAGTGCGTGTGGCCAATTCGTAATCTGCTGAGGGTTACTTCTTCGCGTCTCAACTTACGTGAGCTTGAAGACCATGAACCCAGCTGTGGCTTGATCACCTTTAACTTATTGTTTACAATGGCGTCCCAGCAGCGTTGCCATTTCCCCTTCACAAAGGTCGCGATTGCAGGGTAAAATTCCTTTGCCGGCAAGGGTAAAGAACGGGCGCAAGGTGCGCGCGCTGCCCGTTTTGCGGCCGCGTCAGCACGCTCGTTACCTGCGATACCCACATGACTCGGTGTCCAGCATGAGTCGACAGTTTTACCTGCAAGATCCAGCGCTGTCAGGCGAACTAAAATATCCTGTATAATGGAACAAGGTGGGTTAAAGGTTGTCAGGACTAACAGGCTGCTCAAAGAATCGGATAAGATCACACGTGAGTTGCTCTCACCAACTTCGATGAAGCATGGGGCTTTACTGATTGCAACGAGCTCGGACGTGTAAACGGAGGCGTGTTTCCGTAAAGAAAAGGACCGGGTGGCTTGGTCATTTACAGGTGCAGCACCAACGCCTACCTCCGTCTTGGACCCATCAGAATATGTGGCTTGAAAACCTATGTACCACCCGATGTGCTCCAGAGCCTTCGATCTCAGGTCGCATGGGATCGCTCCCTCTTTGCTGGTGCATTAAAGGGATACATCCACTTTTGGTGAGATTAGCGCCCATGGAGGCACTAATACGGGACGCGGCCGTAGCGCACCATGAAAATTTATGTCGCCTTCCCGCAACAGCTTCTTCATATGAACACCAAATGGAATAGCGGACGGCCTTCCGCTACTTTGGAACTTGCTTTCCACATCACGTGAAAAGATTGCTCGGTAAGTCGGATGGTTGGGAAATTGAGCCAGCTTGCAAAAGTACCGCATGCCAAGCATTTCCATTCTCAGTGCCAACGCCGGTTTATTAGCTTCCACGGTAAGGCTAGCAACTGGCGACGTTCTGAATGTCTCCGTCACAATGCGTAATGCGGTACGGTGCACGGTGTCTAATGAACGTTTGGAGGAACTCGGCGCGCAGTCATAAATAAAACAGCCATAGTCAAGTTTCGAACGTATAAGTGAGCGGTATAGCAGTAACAATGTTATTCTGTCCGCTCCATAAGATGTTCGAGACGCATACTTCAATATGTTCAATGCTTTAAAGCAGTTGTCATGTAGGGTTTTCAAATGTGACCCACACTTTAAACGGTTATCAAACTGCAGACCCAAGAAGCGGGTACTGGATTCGTTCGGGATGGTCTGGCCGTATAGCCTTAAAGCCATAGCGGAGCATTGACGACGTCGTCTGCAAAAGTGCATAGCGACTGTTTTCGAGGTCGAGAAACGTAGTCCGCTTACAACGCTCCATCTTTCCGGGCTGATCACAGCCGACTGCAAGCGACGCTCCAAAGAAGCAAAGTTTGACGAGGCATACCAGATGGCGACGTCATCTACGAAGAGAGAGCGACTGACCGACTTTGGAAGGGAGTCACCAATATCGTTTACCATCACCGCGAACAAAGCGACGCTCAGAACACTGCCCTGGGGCACGCCATTATCTTGTTGGTACCTATCCGAAAAGTGTGAGCCAACACGAACTCTGAAAGAACGATCGGTCATAAAGTTCGCTAAGAACGTGCCCATGGCTCCTCGAATGCCATAATGAAAGAGCTTTTCCAGGATGCCATAACGCCAGGTCGTATCATAGGCTTTTTCAACATAAAAAAACACAGCGCCAACATGTCGTTTTTCACTAAAACTGGTGCGGATGTTTGTGTCGAGAGCTATAAGATAATCAATGGTACTGCGATTTTTCCTAAATCTACATTGAGCAGCCGTAAAAACGTTGTACCGCTCCAAAAATCGCGATAAACGTACATTTACCATACGTTCCATCAACCTACAAATCCATGATGTCAGTGAGATAGGGTGATAGTTGGCAGGGTCAGCCCCACTCTTACCAGGCTTGAGCATAGGGACAATGTATGACTCACGCCAAGATTCCGAAAATCTCCATTCTCCCAGAGTTTGTTGTACATTGCTAAGAGGGCCTCAACTACTGAAGTGGGGAGGTGCTTAAGCATGGCGTTGCGAACTAGATCCGGACCCTCTGCCACGTTGCGCAGCGATCCGATCGCGGAAATTAGTTCGGCCATTGTAAAAGTTTGGTTGTACGACATCTGCTTCGTCGTGCTGAAGTCGACAGGGGATGCCTCGCAGCGGATCCGGTTACGTATAAACTGTGGGACGGCATTGCCGTCACCACACCGTTCGGAGAATGCGCGAGCGAATTCATTTGCTACGTCAGCTGGGTGTATAATATCACGTCCATTGATACGGAGCACAGGGTGTGGTACAGACGAGTGATGTCTCGCAGTGCTTGATCCGTGACCATACATTGGATGCAGGTGTTTGGCAGTTTATTTGGCCGATGTACGATCTCCACGATGCCCGCTTAGCCTCTAGAATGGTGCGTCTAGCAGTCGCTCGCGCTCGTCGGAATGCAATTAGATTCTCAGTCGTGCTCCGACGGTCAAACTTTCTAAGGGCCCTCTTACGCGCACAGATGGCGTCCCGGCACTGATGCGTCCACCATGGGACGGGAGGACGACGGGAGCAGCCCGACGTTCGCGGTAAGCACCCTTCTGCAGACCGAAAAATCGACGAGATCAAATTCTCTACTGACGGGGGTTTACTCGCTGGTTGCATAGTAAGCGAATGCTCGATCCTCGCTCGCAACTCAGTCCAGTCGG